CTCCGTCCCAAGGTCTCCGCCCCCAAGGTCAGCCACCTGGGCGCGGAGGGAGGAATCAAGTCTGTTGTACCAGACACCAGACCTTGAGAATATGCTGATCTGGAATGGCTCTGTGCCTCATTTGAACCATCAAATAGAATCCCTGCTCCTAGCTTGCGCCTTTTTCCCTATATAAGGACCCCTTTCCCTTGGCTCGGCGCGCTTGGCCTCAGAAAAGCTAAGTCGCCCCGGGTACCCGCGTCTCCAATAAAGCCTCTTGTTTTTACATCCAGTTCGTGGCCTCGCTGATTCCTGGGTGTGAGTCTCCCTCTACGAAAGTGCCTCTTCGGGGTCTTTCAATTTCACTCTAGCAGTGAACCTCTACAACCTCGCTAGCTATAAATTCTAGGCATATTTAAACTTTAACTTCAAGCATTATATCTCTGAAGAGAAAGGTATCCTGAATGTTGAGAGCCAGGCTGTAGCTACAGCTGTGAAGGGAAGGTATCCTGGACACCTATACCTGTGAAGCGAAAGGTATCCTGACTCTTGGTGAACAAGGCTGTACCTACAACCCTAAAGAGAAAGGTACTCTGTTGGGTTCCAGGCTGTATCAAGAGTTGTGAAGGGAAGATATCCTGGATACCTACAGCTGTGAAGAGAAAGGTATCCTGACTGGAGCCAGGATATACCTATACCTGTGAAGGTAATGTGTCCTGGATACCTAGAGCTGTGTAGGGAAAGGTATCCTGACTGCTGGGGGCCAGGCTATGCATGTAGCTGTGTTCGGGTGAGGGATGGTTTTCCCGCAGGAATGTGGCAACCCTGCTCCTTTCTGAGGGAGCCTTTACAGATCAGCTCTGCTCCACTCCACTAAGGGAGTTTCCCAGCACAGATGTCCATTGCTTATCTGCTCTGGCAAAAGTGGTTATTTCTCTGCTTCACTATGCTAAGGGAGAAACCCCACAGAAATGTCTCAGTTTGCCCCTGCTCTGATAAAAGCTGTTACTTTTCCGCTCTATGTTCCCATCAGAGAGGCCCATTGCTTCTCTCCTCTGCTCCAATTCAGAAGAAGAAGGTCTTCATCCAAAGTTGGTTCAAGTGATTTATTGGGAGGGAGAAATCCAGGAGATTTCTGGAAATCTGCCTGGGTGGAAAAAGGAAGCTCCCAACTGAACAGGCACAGGGCTTTTATAGAACTTCTTATGGACAGGGTTTTTCCAGAGTGAAGAGTTTGAAGGTTAGAATTGAAAGAATTTCAAGCCCTAAGCTTGGACAAGCTCAGAGATTGGCTGGATTTTGTACTCAGGAATTATTTGGTTTCCTGCTGAGGGACTGGTTGGTGTTTGTGCTGAGGTAGTCAGGGACAGAGTGGGTTCATTTACTCTGGATTGGGGGGCCAAAGTGTGTTTCTTTTACTGGACCTTTTTAACCCCTGGCTCTGGTTTCAGGGCCAAAGTATGTTTCTCGGGTTCTGGTCACAAGGATCAGAGTGTGTTTCTTTTGCTGGCCCTTTACCCTACAGTAACCATGATGAGTACTTCACAACTCCGTATCAATAAGAAGCTCACTTTTTTATTAGTATATTTGTCTAGTAGGCAATAGTTATACAACTTAATGGTTCTCATGACAATTTCTTATATGTATATGTATTTTAATCAAATTCACACCCAATTACCTTATCTTGACTTTCTAACACTTCTGCTGATATCATTCAAGAAGTCCACTCTTACCTCTGGGCTTTATCATACGCTGTTCTGTGTGCCTCAAATGCTGTTTTCCAAAGTCTTCTCTCACCAGGAGCATCAACATATTTCTCTGACATGTCAACATTTACTTTCCCTATGTCTAGAAACATTTTTCCTGCACTG